AAGAAGTGCAGAATGTTAATATTTTTTTTAATCTATGCATAAAAAATACATTAAAATCAATAAAAAAAGCATAACACTCACTACAATGCATTTGACACACACACACGCTTGCATACTATTTGTTTATTGTCAAACTAATCTTATTGCTTATAGTCTGTGGTCAAATCGAGAGTAAAATAGATTAATTATTGTTTGCCTTTAGTAATATTTGTTTAAAGTGTAGTCTTGGCGAATCTGTGATTATAGAAGTTTAAGAGTCTTTGATAATAGAATCATAATAGAGCACAAACTTATATTTTCAATTAAATATAGTCGAATTTCGACTACTACTTAAGGGGCCACTAGTTATTTTAAAATTATGACCATTACAGACCCACTTACAACTCGCTTATGTTGGTGTGTTGAAAGTCGCAAAAGAAAGCAGATTCGGGTCGCTTCTGAGCGTTCATTCTGAATGTTTTTGCGGCATAATTTTATTCAATAATAGACGTCGTGCTACTAACACGCCTATACCGGCCAGGAATTAAAAGACTATTTAGGAGTTATTTTGGTAGTGGTCAATAATAGTTCAGGGCGTTATTGGAAGTGAGATAATTAAAAAACACAACTGGTTAATCGGAGCGTTTATTCGCAACTAAACTTAAAAAGTAAAAAGCATCGGAGCTTGCGGGCGCAGCCGCATGTTATGACTACGAACAATTTGGTTTACATAACAAATACGTTGAAATACGTACTCAACAAATGTTCACGATTGACTTCCACGGTGAAGGAATAACATCGTGTACCCGTTTGAAACCCGCAAAATTATAATTTGCGTAATTACTGGTGGTAGGACCTGTTGTGAGTCCGCGCGGGTAGGTACCACCACACTGTCTATTTCTGCCGTGAAGCTGTAATGCGTTTCGGTTTGAAGGGTGGGGCAGCCGTTGTAACTATACTGAGACCTTACAACTTATATCTCAGGGTGCGTGGCGCATTTGCGTTGTAGATGTCTATGGGCTCCAGTAACCACTTAGCACCAGGTGGGCTGTGAGCTCGTCCACCCATATAAACAATAAAAAAAAACTGTGTCCTTACAACTAAAACTCTGCAGCTCTTATATCTTGGGCCCGATCTTCAGCAATAGACGGCTTGCGAAGCGTGCGTTTAATCAGCGCCCTGTGGATTGTCTAAGCAATATAACATCCTCCATGGAACTCGGCGTCGGTAAAAAATTAACTAATAATACTCGAGCTAAAAGCCTTTTCAGATTAATTGTGGTTTGTTTTGCGATGTTTTAGATTATTTACGACTTGTTAATGGACATCGAATATGGATGTTAAAAGTTGGAGAAATAATGCAACTTTGGGGATTCGTTTTAGGAGAATTATTTGCATTATTTTGTGCTAATTTTACACAAAATTTTATGAAAGCCGACCATCACTTTACTTGATACAAAGATTGTCAATGAATAATGGACCTTTGCTGTAGCAATAGGTGGTGATTGTTTTGTTGTGCTATTGTAACTACTTTGGATAGGTCATGTGCCATCAACATCAATAAAAGAAGCGATGGTATGAGCGCTTAATGTAGTGTTATAGTGGCTACGACACTTTTATTTTATCGTAAAGCAATCAGAGGCTCGAAAATAGCTTAATTATTATTAAACCCAAACTTTTAAATTATTAAAACCTAAGATCTATTTCTCATAAAAGATAAGGTAGAACCTCTTGTCAGTCCGCACGGGTAGTCTATGGGCTCCAGTAACCACTTAACATCAGGTGGGCTGTGAGCTCGTCCACCCATCTAAGCAATAAAAAAAATCAACATAGTTTTGATACACGTATGTGTTTCCGACGTCTTTAGAGATTCTTTAAATGTCATTAGTGTAGTTGCACTAATGAGCCAGACGTTCGCTTCTGCTCGGTGGGTCATTGACACCAAAAAGAAAATATCGCCGCCCGCCCTACGGCCCATATGAGGTCAAAATCTCAATTATGTTAAGGTAACGCCTACTATATACTTCCAATCAAAATATATAATTTATTCAGAGTTGTATAGTAGTTTTTTTTTCTCCTACCTATGCTGATAGCCTCGAGAGGCTATTTGAGCTTCTCCTTGAGCTCACGGGGCTCAAATCGGTTGTGTTGCTAACACTGGCCATAGCAAGAGCAATGCTTCGCAGAATCTACCACCGAATCGGAAGCGCGACCCACTGAGAAGATCCGGCGAGAAACTCAGTGGGCTGTATCTAAGGGTTAATTCACTCGTCGAGCCCTTCGAGTCGGGCTCAACGAGGATGGTGACCAGTGTTTGTGGTACCTAAAAGCACCGTTAATAGATCGGGAGGATCCGTAATGACGTGTTTAGGGCGACGTTGACTGATTAGCATTTGGTCTACAGGATCGGGTGTGTAATTCCCAGCGGCCACGACAAGAGGGTTTTCATGTCGTGCCGCCTTTTCAATAGAAGATACAACTGTTTTCGTGCACTTATAAAAGATGGTGCTAACAGCGTCAGCGACTCATTCAATGTTCGATAACTGAATACCTAACGATGAAAAGCTTTCAAAACAAACATGAAACAACAATAAACTCACAATACAACAACAACAAATCACAAATTAGATACCGCTAATCAATTTGAGTGCCAATAATGGTATTCCATTTAGCTCTATTGGCGACGCACAGACGATAATCGCAACAATTGTCGATACAAAACGAGCATTTAGTGTCCATCTGAAATCTAAAAAGCTCGTTTGAAATGGTAGAGATCAGTGAATATGACGGCAATAATAAATGTTAGTGTTGATACATGACTGTGATAATTGGAACGGTTGCAGCCATAATTGAAAACACAGTTACTTACGGCTTGATTTCGCTTTTATTTTACAGACCCTACAACAAATCGTCTTTTCGCATTAAAAGTGTACAATTTCCAAAAATATTCGAAATTGAGTCACTATGCGGAAACATTTGGTATCACCAGTATTTTTCTCATAAATACTGTCAAAAGAGCATAGTTTAGATCTAGTTTTTTTTTTAGTTTACCAATGTTTTGACTACCATTATCAAAATTAATAGATAATTTTATCGTACTTTCAAATACAGATAGTGTAACTGTCAAAAAATAAAAAATAAACGTTGCAAACATGATTTATATTAAATTTTTTTTATCACATATTAAACCTTTAAAACACTCTCATGTAAAATTAGTATGTCTTGAGATTATACAGTTTTAATGCGAGAAGACGAAATGTGGTTTTATACTTATCTACATACATATTTCGAGTAAACGATTTTATGAAATGAATGAATTTGATTTTTTTTTATTACCCTGGTTGATTATATCAGGATATTCGACATAGTTAATATTACTAGTGCTCCCCCGGTAGTCGAAAATCGACCATAATTAATTTAATTAATAATTATTATACTTCTATAATCACAGATTTCGCTAAGACTACACGTTAGACAAATGTTAATAAAGAGTAATTAAGTTTTTGTGGCCTAAAGGATAAGACGTCCGGTGCATTCGTATCGAGCGATGCGCCGGTGTTCGAATCCCAGGCGGGTACCAATTTTTCTAATGAAATACGTACACAACAAATGTCCACAATGGACTTCCACGGTGAAAGAATAACATCTACACTAATATTATAAAGCTGAAGAGTTTGTTTGTTTGAACGCGCTAATCTCAAGTCCGATTTGAAAAAATATTTCAAAGAAAGGCTATAGGCGATATAACATCACGCTAAAACCAATGCAAACGGGGCACCCATAAATAATGTTTCAAAATAGGGTTTTAAATAGCTCCATATCANCACAATGGACTTCCACGGTGAAAGAATAACATCTACACTAATATTATAAAGCTGAAGAGTTTGTTTGTTTGAACGCGCTAATCTCAAGTCCGATTTGAAAAAATATTTCAAAGAAAGGCTATAGGCGATATAACATCACGCTAAAACCAATGCAAACGGGGCACCCATAAATAATGTTTCAAAATAGGGTTTTAAATAGCTCCATATCATTCCATAACTCAAAAATATTTTCACTTTCTACGTAAATGAAGTGGGGATAGAATTTAGCGTTATGCCAAAGTAACTATTCCACGCAGACGGAGTCGCGGACAAAAGCTAGTCCTGCAATAAAAATCAAACTGCAAAGTTATAATTTGCGTAATTACTGGTGGTAGGACCTCTTGTGAGTCCGCACGGGTAGGTACCACCACCCTGCCTATTTTTGAGTTGAAGCAGTAATGCGTTTCGGTTTGAAGGGTGGGGCAGCCGTTGTAACCATACTGAGACCTTAGAACTTATATCTCAAGGTGGGTGGCGCATTTACGTTGTAGATGTCTATGAGCTCCAGAAACCACTTAACACCAAGTGGGCTCATCCACCCATTAAAGCAATAAAAAAAAAGTCTTAATCGAACAGGTTTAATAACTGGAATTACTAGTATTTAGATAATTGTGAATTATCTAAAATTTTAATCGTCGTGATAAGAGTTACAATCCGCTATGCATTTTCGCTAGTAATCTTTATATAATTACTAGCGACCCGCCCTCGCTTCGCTTCGGAAACATTAAATTTTATTATTGATAGCTCAGTCCCGCGATGTTACCCGCGGTTATTGTCGTACCGCGGGTGACGTCGCGGGGCGAAGCTAGTCTAAAAAAAGTAGCCTAAGTTACTCCTGATATCATCAGCTACCTATCAGTGAAAGTCTCGTTAAAATCGGTCCAGCCGTTCCAGAGATTAGTCGGAACAAACAGACAGACAGACAGATAAATATTGTAAAAAATGTCATTTTGGTGTATGTACCGTATGCATATTTATATGCATGTAGTAAAAAGCGGTTATTTCATTATTACAAACAGACACTCCAATTTTATGTATATGTATAGATATATTTTGGGAAATTTAAAAGATTATTTTATTTTGAATTGAGTTATTTATTGGTGCTCATGATACAATATTTTTACATTTAGATCATCATTTTTGTATTTTTATTTACAATTATACTGTACTATTGCAAGAATATCAGTAAGCTGGCTCAGTTGAGGGTCTCGGGAAGAGTGACAGCGGGAGCCGGGATGATAGGGGTACCAACAATTACGGGCTTGACGACTTCGGGGAGGACAGGGCTGGGGAGCTCCACGGGTTCAGGAACGTCGATTTCAGGAAATACGGGAGTGGGGAGAATAACAACTTCGGGCAAAGGCTCTTCGGCAATGTCCTCAACATCAACGGGATCAGCGGCAATCTCGGAAGGACGGTTCACGTTGATGATGATCTGGACGAGGGGAGTGCCATCAGCGCCGGTGACAGTCACAGGGGCACCTTCAACAATGGCAGGTCCAACAGAGATGGGCTCGTAGGTGTCAACAAGAGCAGGTCCGACGGAGATGGGCTCGTAGGTGTCAACAAGAGCAGGTCCAACAGAGATGGGCACGTAGGTGTCAACAAGAGCAGGTCCAACAGAGATGGGTTCGTAGGTGTCAACAAGAGCAGGTCCAACGGAGATGGGCTCGTACTTGCCAGGGGCAGGGGCGGCTATGGCCACGGCAACGAAGGCGGCGATGATGATCACAGATTTCATTTTTGCTGGAAAATAAAACATTTTAATATTGGTTATTTGGTTGGTTATTGGTTAGTTGGCAACTAATATGGTGCCAAAAGATAAATTTAATGTCTTTGTTGTCGTATCCAGTAACGGTGAATCCTATTAATCTCAAAAATCAGTTGACGGAGGCAAAAAAGGTGGTCAAAAACAATACACTAAATAGTAATTCGTAATAATAACTTCAATTATTATTTGGAAATTATGAAACACCTATGCTTAGAGCTGACAAGTTGCGATAGAACTACTTCCGCAATCACCTTGTTAATTTTGTTTTACTTATAGACTAAATTAAGTTGATTTGAAAAGAAAAGAAAATAATTGATTTTCATTCTAGAATATTTCTGTCACAAAGGCCACGAGAATTTGTTAATTCTTTGAGCCCTGTTGATGGCTTGAATTATTCTACGGAAAATTACCCGTATATCTAATTCGATCAAAATTCCATCATGTACACAACCAAGCCTAAATCATTCCATGGCCTGCTTTTGAATTCAATGATATGAAAATTTTCTATAAACATTTTCGAGCCAAATTGAAAATAATAAATCAATCACATACCTGGTTTGTTTGTTGTCGTTTCAACTATAATACAAATGAATTCAAGACGACTATTTATACAATATCGTATCTTTCACGTTCGGTTGTAATTAATGAAAGAAGATAATAATTTTATTGCACCTAATTCCGCTATTTAGATACTACATGTCAAAATGAATGTCGGATTAAAATCTTTAATTGATTGTATTTATTACGTAAGCATTTGTGTGGATTAACTTTACAAATGAAAAATTCCTTATTTGATAAATGCAGCCGAAATTATTGTCAGAATCGATTTTATATCCGAGTGTTGCATGTGAGTATCGGTTTTGGAACAAAAAAAAGTTTTGATTAGGATTTTGTAATGACATTGGGGTTCCCCCCGCACGGATGCGCGAGGCGAGGCCCTTTCGGAGTGGGCGATCGCGACCAGCCTCTGTCTCCTAAACAGAGGCACGGTCGCGACTTGCGTGCGGTGGAACGGGGAATCTCACGTGGACGTGACGTTCGCGTCCCCGTCCGCCGTGCGCCGCACCCGCGGCTGGCGCGTACTCGAGGGGGCGGAGACGCTCTCGGACCACAGATACGTCCGATTTGAGCTCTCCGTCTCTTCCTTGTCGTCGTCATCAGCCGCGGGCGCGCGCGGTGAGGAGGAGCTCCCGCAAGGTGCGCCCCGTTCGTTCCCCAGGTGGGCCTTGAAACGAATGAATAAGGAGTTGCTGATGGAGGCGGCCGCTGTTGCTGCGTGGGCACCAAAACCCGCGCGGCTCGCGGACGTGGATGCGGAGGTCGACTGGTTCCGGGGCACCATGGCAAATATCTGTGATGCCGCCATGCCCCGGGTCGGCCCCCGAGCACCATGTGGGGGTGCGTTCTGGTGGTCGCCCGAGATCGCAAGACTCCGCGAGGAGTGCGTGAGGGCGCGCCACCGGAGCGCACGCCACCGCCGCCGCCGTCGTCGCGACGCTACGTTCGCGGAGACGGCGGCCCAGCTGCACGCTGACTGTCGTCAAAAGCAGACGGCGCTGCAGCTGGCCATCAGCGAGGCCAAGAAGCAGAGCATGAAGACTCTCCTGGAGTCGCTCGACGAAGATCCCTGGGGGCGCCCATACAAGATGGTTCGCAGGAAACTGCAACCGTGGGCGCTCCCGGTGACCGAGCGGCTCCAGCCTCGGCAGCTGCGGGAAATTGTTGCGGCACTCTTCCCGCCGGCAGCAGGGGGGGACTTTGAGCCCCCCCAGATGGACGCCACGTGGGGCACGCNTGAGCTCCCCTCCACGGTGTTTCCCGAGCGCTATGACATGTCCTTCTTCAAACGAGGCTTGTGGAGAGTATTAAGCGGTAGGCAGCGGCTTGGCTCTGCCCCTGGCATTGCTGAAGTCCATGGGCGACGGTAACCACTCACCATCAGGTGGGCCGTATGCTCGTCTGCCTACAAGGGCAATAAAAAAAAAAAAAAAAAAAGCAAGCATTTCCCTTTTTTTTCTAGATCATTCCCTTCGAGACTAGGACATTCGATTGTGGAATAAATTTTCAGTGACTATAAGACATTGAATTTAAAGCCAACAGACATCTAAAGCCTTCAATTCCTTCAATGAAAGATTAAGAAAACCTACCTATCCGATTAGATTGCTGTTGTCAATGTGTCTAATCACTATAATAAAATATATCTATACAATATTATAGCTTCATATGTTATATATGCATTGAACGTAAGTTTCAATATATGTAAACTGTTACATTTATTTTTATTTAGCAAGTATATGTTCGTATTATGTATAGGAGTGATGGAAAATTCAGACATTTGTCAATAAAGTAAAAAAGAAACCTTACACAAGGAAAAATAGTAGGGTAAAACCTGGATAGATGCCGCAGCGGGATAGATGCCTCATGTTCTAAAAACCTAACTTCCCGCACTCATGACAAAAAATTAATTTAATAAGTAGGAACCACAGTCACCCTATACCTTATGTACCATTTGAAAATCGCGTGGTGACGAAGTGTTTTCCTCGTGCATGTAATTTTCTCCGCGCGGAATTTCACGAACACGTCAAAGATTTAAAGGTTAGTATTTAGCGTGGTATAACTTTATAATTAGTATAAAATTCCACTATATTTTTTAATACGTGAATATATTGGTTCATTGAGTCTTCATCTAGGTGTAAATAAATGCTATTATGTTTATAATTTATTTACAAAAAATTTGGGTATCTATCCTAATCACAAAGGATAGTTGCCCTGATTTTTTGGGGTATAGGTGCCTTTAGGGGCATCTATCCCTCCATACTCTGCCATTTCAGAATACAGCAGAAATATGCCACGAAAACATAAAACACAATCAAATGATTTACAGTTCCAGCAGCGAAGATGAAGACAATCCACTTAACTATAAAATGAAAGGAAATAAAACAATAAATTTGCCCCTAAAGAAATCTAAGGGATAAACCTAAAACGCATGTAAATATATCTGCATTGAATGTTTTGAAAACTATAAAAATACGAAGTCGCAATCCGACTGTTAATGTTTAATGTTTCAGAACTAACTACATGAAACGTGTTTTTCAGAAATGATGTAGAAGTGGAAAGATGTGGAAAATTGAAAGCACTATCCAGTTAAACTTCAATTGGACAAAATAATAAAGATATCTTTATTGTGTTAATTTAATATAAAAAAATATGATTTTGCAATGTACACATTGACACTTAATGTGAATATTTTATAAACAATTAAGAATTTATATTTTTGTTGAATAAATATTTGTAAAATTTAATTTAATAAAAAAATAGGATAATGCATGTTGAAACTAAAAAAATTGTAGTTTAGCTTACGCTTACTTAACGCTTTAAATTTAATTATGATCATTTGTGTGATATGAGAATTATCTTTTAATTATAAACATTCAGACTTAAAAAATACAAAATATTTTTTATTATTATGACCCATGTTTCTTGGAGACAATTGCTCTGTTAGGAATAGAACTTCGTAATATTTGGTTTGGTTTTTTCGTTTACACGGTATAAAGGGCATCTATCCTGCACTGCAGGCATCTATCCTACTCAGTATTTTCTTGGTGGGGCAACTATCCATATAGGTAGGCATCTATCCTCCAAAAAAAGGTTCTACGAAAAACGAATTTCTGCAAAATCTGTATTTGATAAGTTAAAAAAAATGTATACTAATTAAACATAAAGGATTGAGCTAACTACATTAATAGAAATTATTCGTATAACGTTAATATTTTCAAAATTATATGACTATTTCAAAAAGTGGGGCATCTATCTCGGCTTTACCCTAAATGATAATAATATATCAATACTAATGAAATCAGGACACGCTTCACTTTCACTAATCGCATGAAAAATATAAATTACATAAAACTTTTTATTGCTTAGGTGGGTGGACAAGCTCACAGTCCGCCTGGTGTTAAGCGGTTACTGGAGCCCAGATATCTACAACGTAAACGCGCCACCCACCTTGAGATATAAATTCTAAGGTCTCAAGTATAGTTACAACGGCTGCCCCACCCTTCAAACCAAAACGCATTACTACTTCACGGCAGAAATAGGCAGGGTGGTAGTTACCCACGCGGACTCACAAGAGGTCCTACCACCGGTAAAACTACTCGCGTACCATCTATTGTATGTTGAACGTACTATATTAGGCTTCTTTCTAGTGTAGATGGGCGAACGGGGTCATTGTCCACTTAGTGTTTAGTGATTATCGGAGCTTATAGAACACGATGCCGCGAATTCCGCTGCCTATCCTGAGACTATTCAGTCTCAATTGTATTAAACATATCGAGAGGTGAAAGACTATTAGGCGAAATTTCGCTTAATACGCGACATTTATCTAGAAGATTGCACAAAATGGGAATGAGTTGCTCGCTCCATGCATTTCAATATTGTAATAATTGTTACGTTATAATACTCATTGTAAAAATGAACATTTAAAAAAAAATCTAATATTATAAAAAATATCTAATGTTTAAAAAAAAAAGACATGCCCGCTGAGTTTCTTGCCAATTCTTCTCACGACGGAGGCTAGTTTTTGTGAATTGGCGGTAGTTCTTATGACGTTTAACAAGTATGTACTTTCATTTATGTTAAATAAATTTTTTTTGATTTGATTTGATTTGCTATTAAAGGTCCGTTTTGATATCAGCATCAACAGTTTGATGTTTTTAGTTATGTTTACTCCATTCAAATAGTTTTTTGTGATTATATTTTTTCCTAATTTTAAACTTTAAATGGCTTTCCTGTACAGTTGTAAAAATGTCGCCTAAACCGAATAGGCTTTCACGACTCGATATGTTCGTCAAGCCGGAACGCATGACGATGGTGAGGTGAGGATTCACCATCCGCCATACCACTAAAAACGACCAGTTTAAAAACGCAGTACGCCGCGCGCCTGTGTAATCATCAGAGAACGCTGTTGTCTA